AATTTGGGCTGTGGTAGTCAATTAGTAAAAAGTAACAAGGGTTGTTTACACAGCCTTCTTGGCTGTAAATTTCCCATCTCTGGGTGATAGGGATGTCTCTTGTACCTCCTGGTGCAGGGAGGGCACCTTTCCCATGGGAGACTTATTTCCTGCTTTCTGGGGACAGAGGAAGGTCTGAGTGTCCTTGCACAGCCTGTCTCTTAAGTAACTTTTATTTTAAAAGATTTTATTTATTTATTTGAGAGAGAAAGCATAAGCAGGCAGAAGGGCAGAGAGAGAGAGGTAGAAACACTGCTGAGCAGGGAGCCCCATGTGGGGCTAGATTCCAGGATGCTGGGATTATGACCTGAGCCGAAGGCAGACGCTTAACCAACTGAGCCACCCAGGCACCCCTTAAGTAACTTTTATTTTAAATAATTAATATGCCAACGTGGCCTATGGTAGGGCCGCCTGCCATTGGCCCCTACAGCTCAGTCTGACAACCCTAGCCAACAGGAAGCCTTGGTTTGATGGAAACCTCCAAGAGCTAGAGGAGAGCCAGCTTGCTGCACAGCTTAAAGTGAAGTTCTCGGGTTATCAGTCTCCAAAACAGCTCTCATTGCAGGAAGACAGGAAGATCATAAGGGAAGCATAAATCATTTTCCTCAAAGTAAAAACATTCTATTAAAACTGAGGGCAGGAACTATTCGATTGTGGCTATAAAGTAATACAATGCATTTTCATGAATGATTTATGGACTTAACAAAAATCTCCCAACTTTGGGTTGGAGAACATCACACTATTAATCACTAAGGTTTCTTCTAGTTCTATCATTCTTATTTTATAAACAAAGTTAGTGGTATAGCCAAAATTATAGCTCAGGTCTTCTATTTCTCGATTTAAGCACCTTGCCTCATAGCAGTAGCCTGTATATTCTAGATTAAAATGTAGATTCATGACCCCTCTGATTAAACTCTTGTAGTTAATCAGAATATCTGGCTGTTGGATCTAAAAATCTACATTTTAAAGAATTTACTTAGCGGGGCACCTGGGTGGCTCAGTCGGTTAAGCGTCTGCCTTCGGCTCAGGTCATGATCCCGGGGTCCTGGGATCGAGTCCTGCATCGGGCTCCCTGCTGAGCTGCTTCTCCCTCTGCCTGCCACTCCCCCTGCTTGTGCTGTCAAATAAAATAAATAAAATAAAATAAAATAAAATAAAATAAAATAAAAATAACCTACTTAGCATATTCTTCCATTCATTGAAGTTTGAGAATCACCGTCACAGCCTGAAGTCCTGTTGTTATTTTATAGTCAGAGCATCCAAGACAACTGTGGAGTGTTCTCAACTTGGGATGCCTAGCTGTCCACCAGGGATTGGGGACTCCTGCCTCCAAAAACTATATATCCTTACACCTAATGCCTTGATAGACACTCAACACATACATTTTGAATACTGAAATATGCTTTATTTTGGAAAGAAATGGGAATTCAAAATCGATGCCTCACAATTTTTCCTACTTTGGATATGAAATCCAGTTGTTTTATGACCTTAGGCTCCTGCTTTTGCTTTTTAGGCAACTTACAGGCAATTAGCATTATCTTTAGTATTAGAGCATGGAGTCAGCAAACTGCCTAGCACTAGAGACCAAATGTAACCCACTGCCTGCTTTTGTAAACAAAGTTTTGTTGGGACACAGCCACACTCATCGCTTTACCTATTGTCTCTGGCTGCTTTTGTGGTACAGCGGGAGACCTGATTAGTTGTGACAGAAACCTCATGGCCCAGAAAGCCTGAAATAGTTATCTGGCCCTTTACAGAAAAAAGTTTGCTGCCCCCTCCACTAGAAGGAAAAAGGTAATTTGTTTCAGATTTTGCCTTCTTAAGGTTTTTTTTTTTTTTTTTTCTGGTAAAAGATCTGATGTACAACTGCTAACAACAGCCAGTGAAAATTAAGTGGGATTTTTTTTTGAGCGATATATCATAAAATATTCTCTTTTTCTGAACCTACCTACCTACTGAGCCTTTTTGGGAACCTAAAATTTATAGTGCTTAAGGCAGTGTTTCTCAAAGATCTCAAGTAGATCCCATACTATCTGCCTCTAAATCATCTGGAGTGCTTGTTTAAAATGCAGATTCCTGAATCCCACCAAAAACCTACTGAATGAGAATTTCTGGGGGGTATGCTTGGACATCTGATAAACTCCCTCTTTTGTAACTATCAATGTATCTGGCTCCTGTATCTGTTATGACACTCAAGATATATTTATTTGTTTACCTGCTTGTCTCTTAAGACTGTGAACTCCTTCAGGGTAGGTATTGTGTTGTTATTCATTACTTTTATATTCCAAGCTGCAGGGTGGGCACATTTAATTGCTGTAGTTCTCAAAGGGTAGTCCACGCATGCTGGGGGTCATTTCAGGGATCACACGATCAAAACTATTAATACTAAGACATGATTTGCTTTTTTTACTGTGTTTCTGACATTTGCACTGTTGATGCAAAAGCAATGGTGGGTAAAACTGCTGGCGCCTTAGCAAGAATTAAGGCAGTGGAAATAAATTGTACTGTCAGTCATTGTATTGTGCACTGCCATGCGTTCCTAATAAAAATAGTGCCCATTTCACTTAAGAATACTGTTCATGAAGTAAAAATTATTAATTTTATTAAATATTAACCCTCGCATTCACATCTTTTTCATATTCTGTGTGACAAAATAGTATGCCTAAAACAGTTCTGCATCCTGAAGTATGCTGGTCTGTTGAGGAAAAAGCACTTAACAAGTGATTTGAATTGGTAACTGCACTAGCTACTCTTTTTTTCATGGATCATCATTTTTATTTAAAAGTATAACAGAGAACTAAGACTAGTCAGATTTAGCTATTTGACAGAGCCTGTCTTGAAAACAAAGTGAGCTTGTTAACTTCAAGGAAAACAACTGACAGTATTTGTTGCCAATGATAAAATGTGACCCTTCAAGAAAAAAGCAGACTTTAAAGAACTTTTATTTACTAAGAGCTTGACAGCTTCCCTGTACTTAAAGGCTCTTCTAATGAGACCGGTGGTGATTAAAAAATATATATATTGTATAATGAAATGTGTTAACATTTGGAAGACTGAATAGCACAGTGAACTGGTATTTTCCAAATAACCAATGTTTGATGTCATAAATCATGTATACGTAAAAGAGCCATTCAAAGTGCAAGACAGACCAATGGATTTTAATGTATCAGAGTACAAAATATTCACTGATATGTTTTCAGATTCCATATTGCAACTAACCTTTAAGAAGCCACTATTTGTTGAATTTTATCTGAAGAGGCTGTTAAAATACTTCCTTCTCCAACTACATAGTTGAGGGAAGCTGGGTTTTCTTCATATACTTCAACCAAAACTAAAGTTGTAACAGTTTGAATGCAGAAGTAACTATGAGAATCTTACAATTTTATACGAAACCAGACATTAAAGAAATTTACAAAAATGTAAAGCAATGTCATTCTGTCCACTGATTTTTTCATTTTTGAAAACAGTTATTTTTCCGTTAAAAAATTTATTGACAAGAAACGGGTTTTTAATTTTATTTTAAATAAATTAGTAAACATTTGAATTTGTTTTAATTTCTAGTAAACAGTGATAGATATAACCTACATAAACAATACACTTTAGGGTCCTCAATAATTACAGTGTAAAAGGTTCCTGAGGCCAAAAAAGTTGAGAACAGCTGTTATGGATACAGAGATTTGGAGATAGAGGACCTAAATTCAAGGTCTGGTTTTGTCACTTAGAACTGAGTTTAGGTAAGTTGCTTACGTGCAGCTCTGAAGACAGACACTGTGTTTGCTGTTTTGGCTCCATCACTTGCTGATAGTATGACTTTGGATAAGTCATTTTACCTTTGCAAATAGGGAAAACTATAGTCTACTTCAAGTTGTGGTGAGGACTAAATGGGATTACACTTGTAAAATGCTTACAAGCCTACCTAGAAGTAGTAAGAGCTCAGTAAATGCTAGCTCCTGTTAGTCTATGATATTAGCTAGTCATCTGACAAGATTCTAGAGATTGGGACAACTCTGGCATTCCTTACCCTCTCCCTGGAGAGCGGAAGCTTTTTAGGTGTTGTAAGTTTCAGAACGTATAAGTAAACTTGTGGATATTTGTGTGTGGCTGTTAACCTGTAAGAGAATTCATGTGTTATAAAAATTCTTTTTTCTCGGTTTCTGAAGAAATAACGAAACTGAAAAACATCCCTGAATCCTTGCCCTATAAACTAGTTAGAATATAGGCAAGCGTCTTACTGAATACTCAAAGGAGCTGAGGTCTTCCAGAAAACTAAATACTCAGGAGAGCAGGGCAGGGCCATTAGCTTCATGACTGTGGGAAATTCATTTAAACTTTTCACCTCAATTATGTCATCGTGTTTGGACAAAAATAATCTCGTTTCCAACCTCTCGTGCAGCTTTTAAATCTGGTGAAGCTCACCTCTACATTTTTTTACACGTATCTTTTTGGCAGCCTCGATATCCTAAGAAATGTAAGGGGGAGGGGGCAAAGCCCCAGAGATAAACTTTCTTCTTTGCAAATGCCAATAGTATCCATTTTCCTCCACACCCAGAAGTGGAGGCTGCTGCTAGCGCCCTATCGTCTAACTGCTCACTAGGGGCGTGGCATCTGCGTCTCCCTCGGGTTCTCCGCATCTTTCCTAGCCCTTTAGTACAGTTAGCCAGAGTAGTACCAGGGTCAGCGCGCCTCTTTTCCCATCTAGTCTACCAAGTGAGGAGGCATGGCTGGTTAATTCTGAAGAAGCTTTCTTTCACTGAAACTCAAAATGCTCCCTTACACCTATAATGTCTTATCCCCCATCCCTGCATTTCAAAGACCTCCGACCTCAGACGGAGATTCCGCGCGCCGGCTCAGAGCGGAGGGCACGCCCCACGCACCGCCCGCACGGCCAGCGCTTCGGCTCCCTGCCCGCAGGAAGGAGCCACATCTCGCGCGATTCCTTCCACCTCTCGCGACACTTCCTGCCAGTGTCCTGCGGCCCTCATTGCCCCACCCATCGCTTCCACGCCGCGGTCCTCACCACCTCACCTTTGCTGTCGGTAGCCCGAGCCGCTGCTCGCCCGCTGGGAGCGCAGTGGAGCCCAGTGTTGGGCACGAGTCCTGCGGGGCCGCAGGCTCCGCCCTGCTGCGCCCCGCCCCGCCTGCGCTCGGGGGAAAGGCCGCCCCGGGGACATGTCGTGCCCCCCTCAGCGAGGGCAGGAGTGTGTGAAAGGCAGCGGGGCTGTCAGGTGAGCCCGTGGTGGCGTGTTGGGGTGGGCGGCTGGACGGAGGGAGGCCCCACTGGGCTGCGGGTTGGAGGCACTGCGGGATGGGGATGCCGGGAGCGGAGGAGGACGCGATGCCTGAGGCAGAGAAGGGAGGTGGTGGGAGAACCACCCCGGGGGGGTGGGGGTGACCTCGGTCCGGGTGAAGCGTCCAGGCTTCCCTTTGTACGGACTGCGTTCTAAGGCACCGGGAAATTATCTTGTTCCATCGGTGGCTCCGCTCCTCTCTGCAGGGCTGGAAGCGGGAGGAGGCAAGTCCCCGAGCTCTGAAGTCCCAGATCTGGGCGGCAGGAGGCCCAGGGTCGTGGGGGAGAGGGACGCGTCAAGGTGGCGGAGGTAAATTGGTGCTAGGAAAAGGGATAAAGTGGCCGAAAGCCGGGCGAGCGTTCGCTCGGAGGAGGCCAGGTGTTTGCCATCCGGCTGCGCTCGGTGCTGAGATACCAACAATGCTCACTCCCCTCAGGTTGAGTACACATCGGTGTGTGCAGTGTTCCTTGCCAAGTGGTCAGAGTGTTGGAGGGGTAGGACCATATAGGTCAGAGTCCTCTTTGAGAGAAGGAGGCTTTTGAGGTCACTTGTTACTTTTCTCCTGAGACTTGGACGGTGTGAGTGGGTGCGCGAGTGCGCACAGTGACTCAAACTAGGGTTCGTGTTTTCAGAATTCGTGCCCTAGTCGCTAATTAAGTACACTTCAAGGATCAATAAAAGGGGACAGGTTCTTCGGACGCCTGGGTAGCTCAGGTCATGATCCCAGAGTCCTGGGATCGAGCCCCGCATCGGGCTCCCTGCTCCGCGGGAAGCCTGCTTCTCCCTCTCCCACTCCCCCTGCTTGTGTTCCCTCTCTCGCTGTGTCTCTCTCTGTCAAATAAATAAAACCTTAAAAAAAAAAGGTGACGGGTTCTTAAGTGAATAGTTTTACTTTCAATGTTTTAAGATTCCAGTGATCACGTAAGTGTGTAATGATAGGGGCCTGGAGCCTAAAATCTAGGTGTTAAGACAGTTGGAGTAAATTTTTTGCCTTTAGCAATAGACTTAGATGGAAATTGGGGTAGGATGTTTTGTTGCAATCAAGTTTTTAACCATATGTTTCTTCTCATTCTAGGTTTGTCTTTTTTTTAAGTTATTTTAAGTTTATTATTTTCAAAATTGTATTTATTTGAGAGAGAGTGAGCGAGAGCAGGAGCAGGGGGAGGAGCAGAGGGAGAGGGAGAAGCAGACTCCCCGCTGAGCAGGGAGCCCGATGCCATGCAGGGCTCATTCCAGGACCCTGAGATCATGACCTGAGCCAAAGGCAGATGCTAACTGACAGAGCCACCCAGGTGCCCCTCTGGTTTGTCTATATGAAAGCCATGCAGTTTTCTGAGAGAATTGGGAAATTGGGAAATCAGTGTAAAGTGGTTGGTCTGACTATAAGAAGCATTTTGTTTAAGGCTCCCCCTCAAATCCAGCTGTTAATTTATATGTTATTTCTTGAGATTTTTTTTCCCAGAAATGACACCTTAAAGTGACCAGTTGTGTATGTGTGTGTGTGTGTGAGGGAGAGAGAGAAATTTCACTGTTAATAGAAGAAAAATGATTTTTCCTGATAGTTTTCTTATATCTTGTCTTTTAGAGAGCAAAATGTCATCAGCAGAATCACACCAGGAACAATTGTCCCAGTCAGATCCATCCCCGTCACCAAACTCATGTAGTTCCTTTGAGCTACTAGACATGGATGCTGGCAGTTTGTATGAGCCAGTTTCTCCTTATTGGTTTTATTGTAAAATAATAGATTCTAAGGAGACATGGATTCCTTTCAACTCTGAGGATTCACAGCAGCTGGAAGAGGCATATGGTTCTGGTAGGATGAAAATGATGACTTTTAATAGATTAAGACAATTTCTCTCAGTCTAATATAATAGTTCTTATATTGAGTGCTATTAAAAATATTAGATTTTTTTCTAGTTTTTTCTGTAGCGTATTTTGCAGTTCTCTCTTCTATAGCATTTTTATATAGAGATAGAAGTTTTGCACTACTAACCAGTCAATTTGTAATATTTAAGAATTTGGTCTGTATTTGAAAACAGTACTTATTGTAATTTCTGCGTAGTTATCTAATAATATTTCTTTTTTTTTTTAAAGATTGTATTTATTTGAGTGAGAGAGAATGAGAGAGAGAGAGAGAGCACATGAGAGGGTGAGAGGGGGGAGGGTCAAAGGGAGAAGCAGACTCCCTGATAAGCAGGGAGCCTGATGCGGGACTCGATCCCAGGACTCCAGGATCATGACCTGAGCTGAAGGCAATTTCTTAACCAACTGAGCCACCCAGGCGCCCTCTAATAATATTTTTTATGTTCCAGCATATGGTTCAGTTTTTGTTTATGAAGAATGGGGGCATGTCACATTGCAAAAGAATGAATTCTTGTCACTTGTTTTTTCTTCTTTTATGAAATAAGAATGACGCGGTAACTGTTTTATCATCATGATGGTCATGGTTGTTAATTTACTTTTTGGCTCCTCAAGCAAAAAATTCAGAAAACCCTTATATACTTTTGTTTGTTTAATGGGACACGACTGTCTCTCAGAAAAAGAACAAAACAGTGTTGGGGTATTATCTTTTTCATGTATCATTAAAACCAAGAATGGTTTTGATGGCTTGGGAAGTAGTGAAAAAATGCAATTCCGTTTTGCTTAATGTTTAGCCAAGTAGAAAATGTTCATTCTTATGCTCATAACATTATTTAGAGTATAGCTCAGAATTGTATTTTGGGAGATTTATTTTTATATATGTACTTCTTTCCCCCTTTCCAATCCTTGATAGGAAAAGATTGTAATGGGAGAGTTGTCCCCACTGATGGGGGCAGATATGATGTGCATTTGGGGGAGAGGATGCGGTATGCTGTATACTGGGATGAGCTAGCATCGGAAGTGAGACGATGTACCTGGTTTTACAAGGGAGACAAAGATAATAAGTATGTTCCCTACTCAGAGAGCTTCAGCCAAGTATTAGAGGTATTTCTTTGACTCCTTTTCACTTATTTTCATTTTTTTCTTCTCTTATTTAATAATCTTTTTTTGTGACTTATTTTTGTGAAATTTCTAGGAAGTTTGGTTCTATCTGGATCATTTCTGTTGCAAGTTAGTTTCAAGATAAAGTAGTTTTATTTTCAGATTTTAAATTACTATGTAAACTGTTACGCCTTTAAGTTAAAATTTTTTCCCTAATGGTGATCATTGTTAATAATATTTAAATTATGACCACAGGATTGGTCTTTTCAGCCTTTTATTTTTCTGGCTCTGGAAACAGTCTGAAATTTGGTTTCTTTAAATTGGAGTAGACATTAGTACTATTGGAAGAAGTATATCAAAATGTGAACAGTGATTTTACCTAGTCTAGATGATAAAAGTAGGTGTGAACTTTTTGTTGTTCTATACTGTTATCTGTTGTAATTTTAAAAGCATTTTCAAATATTTGATAAATCGGAGTCGGATATTCTTATGTAATTGTTTATCTAGCAGTATTCTTGTAAAAAAAAGTTCAGTTTTAATAGAAAAGCTATTAGAGAAATCTAATGAAATGTGTTTTCTCTTAAGGAAACGTACATGCTTGCTGTAACTCTGGATGAGTGGAAAAAGAAATTGGAGTCTCCCAACAGAGAAATTATTATATTACACAATCCAAAGGTAAAGCAAATTAAGCCTTTCTTTCATGTGGGATTAAAGGTTAATTGCATTCCTAAGGAGAACTTAATTGGTTTCTTTTTCATAGGGATTCTATTTAGGATACCCTTTGGAAATTTTTACATTGCATTCACAATTATGAAACTTGTAGCCACTGCCACTATTTTTTACCTCCTTCACCTTATACAAGAGAATTTTCTTAGAGAAAATTACGCCACTGTAGATTAAGAATATCGCTGACATATTATGGGGGCATATTTTACATGTGTAGGGTATTATTGAAAGATCTCTTAGCCTGATTTTTTTTTTTTTTTTGGCTTTATTGAGGTATAATTGACAAAGTCATAAGGTATTTAACATGTACAACATTGGCCTACTGTATTTTCAGGGTTCTCATTTCAAGCCATCAGAGTTGCATATCAAAACTCCACTTGAGATCTGACTATGTATTCTGTTTTGAAAGACATGTATGGTGTCCCTCAGCGTGTATAAATAGAGATGTCTATAATGTAGAATATATTTATTGCTCTGATCTTTTCTATTTAAGCTTATGGTGCATTACCAGCCAGTTGCAGGGTCTGATGAATGGGGTTCAACACCCACTGAACAGGGTCGACCAAGAACAGTGAAGAGAGGGGTTGAGAACATCTCTGTTGACATTCATTGTGGTAATGTTGTTTATTTTTTCTTCTGATATACTTATTTATGACTTAAATTATGACCCTTTTTCTATGGTTTTGGATTACCTCAAGGCTTAAAAATGATTTAGTCATATGGGCTTTTTATGAGTTAAGATTAGCATCATTTCATCTACTAAGAATTTTTTTTATTGATTGATTGATTGATTTTAGAGAGAGAGAGCACGCAAGTGGGAGGGACAGAGGGAGAGGAAGAGAAATCTCAAGCAGACTCTTCGCTGAGTGCGGAGCTGGAGGTGGGACTCCATCTCATGACCCTGACATCACAACCTGAGCCGAAACTTAGTCGATTGCACCATCCAGGTGCCCCACTAAGAATCTTAATAGATATAAAAATCTGTTTTAGGGCGCCTGGGTGGCTCAGTCGTTAAGCGTCTGCCTTCGGCTCAGGTCATGATCCCAGGGTCCTGGGATCGAGTCCCACATCGGGCTCCC